CTAATACCTAACAGAATATAGGTAATATACTAAATACTAATATAATATTTTATTTAAAAACGACAAAACCACAAACAATTAAACCAGGGAGCGTTTTACTCTTTTGAGGTGTGCTAATGCATATCTACCTAAAATTGATCAAGATTGTAATTTGGCTTAAGGGGGCTGCACAGTAGCATATTTTAAGGAGTACTATTTAGGAAATTCATGGGACATATAAATTAATACTGTATCTATGTGTGAGTAGTAAATGAACATTAGTGTGCGTAATCCGTTATCGTTTCCGAGAATCGCTGCACGTTTGGTCGGGCAACCGCGCCGGAAGCAACTCTCACACGCGCACGCACATGTCAATACATCTCGAAAAATGAAATATATTCTTGTTGACTATAAAACTAGTAAAAGGGGTAGTAAATTAATCATACTTCCCGAAGTTCGATTATAATTTCTAAAAAATGGTTGAATTTATAAACTTCTAGACTATGCTTTTTAGGAATCACTTTTTTTTATTTAAAATCAGATGTGCCCAAAATAAATACAATTAATGTAATGTAATTATATTTCACGGGATTTCTAAAAAAAAAATGGTTACTTTGAGGTCATTTTAAATTGAAAATTGAAAATTGACTACCTAAGAAACCTAGATATTTTATCAATGAATTCAATCATGTATAAAAAAATTTAAATCGGACATTCCGAAGTATGTGTAATTTATAACCTCATATTGGTCTAAAACGTATGAAAAATAAGTGGGCTGCAGCCCCCTTAATATAACTTATTTGGGCTAAGCAAAAATAATTTTTTTCTGAAATTGGTCTTATGTATCCAACACTATGATTATATGATATTATTATTCAATTATTTAAAAGAAATATAAAAATGTTTGGATTGTATTAAATACTATATGTGTGATTGAGGATTTCAAGATTTATTTTATATAGGTACACTACTTATGTACTTAAAATGTACTTTATAACTCCGGAGTTCTCTCAGTGGATCTTACCATTTTTAAAAAAAAAAATTTTATTTTTGGATATAATAGTATCTAAAAATATTAAAATTTAAGTAATTTAAGTACTAACTTAGAATTATTAGATAATATACTATTTTATAATATGTATATTAGATTATTGTATGTAAAATATAAAGACCCTAATTTCCGAGCGTAGCAATCAAATTATTTTTTTATAATAAGTAATAATATGTTTTGGTCTTCCTAGTTGTTAAGCTACCTTTCAAAAAGTTGAAACGATGCTCCTGAATTAAACAATTATACAGAAATAATTTTTTTTTTTTTGTCACTTTATCAATTATTTCTTCAGCTCTAATAGTAATATGTGTTGATAGGTAGAACCCCTACTAATAATTGATAGTACACAAAATATTTCTTGAAAACCGTTTTCAGAAACAACAAGGTTTGTACTTTGCCTTTTATTAAATAAGATTTATACTATATTGCAGCCAATGTTTGGGGGGTACTGAAGCCCCCTTAGCCAGTCTCCTGGGTACGCCACTGAAGCTTAGTAAACTTGTATAAATAACCAAATTTAAAAGTTAAAAATAAATTAATAAATATCAAAAATATCTCATGGCTATATACGAGTATAGCGTAATTTTCCGGAGAATTTTTTCATTTTGATGCAGGTAGTACCTAAGACTTGTTGTTGTTGGAAACCTTCTATTCAAATGTATAACGTTAGTTTTGGCTATAAATAGTTCATTAAGAGTCAAAATTGTTTGAAAATTTTACCCTGTTTGGAAAATGCTAATATAAATATTTGGTGAAAATTTCAAGGTATACTATGGTTATAAATTGTTGAGTTAGACCAAAAAAATAAAATTGATTTTTTCAAAATTTGATTTTGAGTAAAAAATTACCAATTTTTTGTTGATCTTGACAATATTCACTTTTATAACTGAATAGTCGCTGATCTTGAAAATCGGAGCATTTTTAATACCCAAAACGGACAGGGAAAAAAATGCACACACATCATTGTAAAATCAATAAATTCTTTCGCTTCACTCAGAATCTAATATATCTGAAAATGTCACTGCCCTATAGGTCCGTGTCACTACTAGGCCCTATGCCTAAATATTTAATATATTATATAACATTTAAATATAATTTGTAGTCGGACGCGCACACGATGGCAAACCCGTCGAGACCCTGTATGTTCACCTTAATGGATTACGACAGTAATATGTTGATATAGATTATAATAGAAATTTTTCTTTCTAAAGTTGCTCTTCGAATGGATGTTTTCAAATATTGTGTTACATTTTTACTATAGATATAACATATATGTATAAAAGATAAAAATAAAGTTCAGTACGAACTACTATGCGAAAGCGAAGTATGTTATCATGTTTTTCTTTTAAAAGGACATTCAATTATAATGACCAGATATTTTTACGTGCAACTTATACCAGTTGGTAGGTATAGCTAGGTTTAAGAGTTTCTCCGAAATTTATAAATGAATGATATTTTTTGTCCACTTATTATTTATACACGTTGTGCACTAATGGGATTTCAACCGAACGTATTCACCGTGCTCCTTCTAATGAATAAATTATTATGCAACCATACCAGCTTAAAACCCAACAGGAAGTATTATCACCTGTAATATCGAGAATATTATTATTGCATTAGGTTATGTTCACGTATAACCTATAATGTTATTATTTCGATAAAAACCGTTCGGAAAATAATGAAATTCCACCACGGACGTTTCAGCATTACGGTGCACCTATATAGGTATATTATACAAATAAAACCGTTCGTTACCCATTTCGTTTTACCGTCTCTCCGATGATTTCCTGCGGAACATAATCACGATTTTGAACTCATCAAACAATAAGGGTTGTAGACGACGACATTCGCTGTTAGGTACACCGCCTACTTCCCGATTACTGCTGCAATTGTCCAACGGAAACGGTTCGCGAAACGGACTCGGATCACGTCGAAAGGTTATCGTTGTAGGCTGAGTAGACATTAGACATTCGTAACCGGGACCAATAACAGTGCGAGCATACCTATGCGTAAAGTTTTATTCGGCGGTCGTGCAAAAGGGAACTAAAAATATATAAAACGTTTGACACGGAACGACGCAAGGGCGCTCCCCCCCCCTCCCCGGGAACGGCGAGTTGTACTCTTTTGAAATCGGTCGTTGCTGGATTTACAACGCAATCATTTCCTGCAATTCAGATCGTTTGTAAAAAAAACAGACAGTCAACATGCAAACATTTAATGTAGTTTTCGAGCTCTCTCTCTCGCGCGCGCGCGTGTGTATTACCTATACTATTACGCTCGAGTCTCCGATGATGCCACTTGCCTCTATCGTGAATCTATACTCTTCATGTTGTATAATTTAGCGAATTTCGATTTATTGTGCACACAGCACACTCATAACAAACGATTTTATCTCGGTAAGTTGAGTGAACGAAAGTTTGTTTACTTTTCAGATACTAGCCTGTTTATATTATCAGACTGTTTGAGAGTTGATAAATATTTTAACAACAATTTGCACAGCACATACATCCGTCCACCCATACGCACACACACACACACCCACACACAATTGTGCGAGTGTATTCGATGTTTGTTCGGCATAAATAATAAATGTATAAAATAATAATGAGTATTAAAAAAAAAACCTCATAAAACCACTTGTACGACCAAAATGTAATACGCATACAATAAAGGTCATAGGAACGCCCACCCACCCGAGCCGTGGTAACGAACCAATAATTTAGTGGCGCCGGAAAATTATGTGGCTGAAAAATATGGATGCAAAAAAATAAAGGGAAAAACGTCCAACACTGACGACGTAAATGATGCGTATAATAACAATGATGTGATCGGTTGAAATTGAACTTCTGCCGCTGCACAAGGCGGACGGTGCTGGAGTGACGGATATGTCTGTTGGTATTTTAATGATAGTGCGTGTAATTTTATGCCACCGCTGCCGCTGAGCAGAGTGAGCAGAATAAACGGGGGAAAAATATAATAATAATAATAATAATAATAAATGTCGGTGGCAGTGGGTGAAAAAAATAACTGCTAATAATAAAATAATAATTCATGTGCTTTGTATTCTCTCGCAGTGGCCGACGTAAAAAGTACGGTTTTTTTTTGTTTTTCAACATTCGTCGTCATATTATTTATAACATTATATTTTTTGTTATTGCATCACATGCGGCCATTATGTGCGTGAGTTTGTGTGTGTTCTCGTTTGCACATCAAAAGTGCTGTTCTCACTGCGAAGACATTATTAAACGTATAATATGTCCACGGGTCACATGCTACTTGTTTCTTGAACGCGGGCTGCAGCCTTTATCTTCCCGAGACGACTTGTCGTAATATTAATGTTAATACTCGTACCCGTAACATATTGGCAACGATTATTACGGTGGTCGTATACTCGTATACTGTATTTTGCAGACCTTTGTCAATAGCCGGAGCTGGCCATCCAACACCATCATTGTACTTACATAATATTATGATATTCATCTCAAAAACCCAAAATAAATCGCTGCTTAACCTTTTTTTTTTTTTAACATATTATATATGTTTTTGGGCTGGGTACATCCTTTTTTTTTAACCGATTTTTAAGAGTAAAATTTTCCTAACACTTTGTTATTTCCATAGAAACGCAAATCTAAAATAATAATAATAAAAAAAAATTTAATTCTTAGTAAAATGTAATTACTAGATATTTTTCCAATGCACAATACATAAAAACATATCTATGATTCCTCAATTTTCCTTGCAGAGGAAAAACAAAGTAGCATGCTACTTATAATTTATACAAACCACAATGTTTACATGTTTAAATCGACTACTAGGGTGTCACTGACGACAGGCATATCCTCCCTCCTCATCCAACATCGTTTATTTGAAACAAACTTTACAACAGTTTTACATGGCAATATTGAGGGCCTCTATTCCCCATCTCTTTACCATGCTTTTTACGTATAATAAGTCGTTAGACTAATCTGGATTAATAATTGTTGTACTGCGCCATATATGTCTGTCGTCGCAATCCTCTTCCTCTTTGATCTCCAGAATAGTTATTGATATTATTCCAGTTGGGATTTGAGTACACCACGACATCAAATATATTCTTTGGTGTGTTAAGTTCACTGCTGTCAATGTCTCTGTGTATCTTTAAATTTCCGTGGATATTCGATGAGTATCCATCACATGCGACCATTATGTGTGTGCGTGTGTAATTGTTCTCGTTTGCATATTGATAGTGCTCACTGTTTTCACTGCGAAAATATTATTAAACGTATAATATTTTGTTGGCGGGTCACGTGTCACTTGTTCTTAAATGTCGGGATGCGGTCTTTATCTTTCCGGGACGTCTCATAATATTAATAATATTCGTACACGTAACATATTCACGATGATTATTACGGTGTTCGTGTACTGTACTTTACAGACCTTTGTGAATAGCCGGAGCTGGACACCCAACACCATCACGGTACTTACATAGGTAATATTATAATGTTCGCTTCAAAAACACAAAACAGATCCTTACCTAAATTAACCTAAACTCACCCTCTGCGAGCGTCTGGCGTCGTTGTCGTGTTACGTGATTGATTCATTTGTCAATAAATACAATATATAAGTAGGTAGGTACACTATGATTCACGTCAAGGCTACACATTTTACATAATATAGTGACGGTACTTTTATGTGATATGAATAATTACTTAAACATTTTCTATATAATTTCCGGGACATAGTAATAATAATAATACCGATTTATCGTAGGTATGTAATTTTCAGAAAAAAAATATATATTCATATATTATAGGTATTTGTGTCCATAAATCACGATGATGAGCTGTCCCAAAATTTCAAAACTATTTAGGTAAACTACCTACCATTCGTGTTTGATTTCCTATTTTAGTAAATTACTTATTATTTATTTATTTTTGTTGAATTATCATTTTAGCAATACTCAGACACCTCCCCCGGGACCACTAGTCAGTTACTTATTATATTATTACCTATGCAATGAATAGCAATAGGCGATAATATATTGCAGCAAAAGTAGGTATATAAAAATTCAAAATGTCATGATATCAACCCGTGTTGCATTAAATAATAATAATAAAATATATAATATCATTTTTTTTTTTAAAAATCTCTAATCTAATTCAATTTTAGAAATTATTTTTTTTTTATTTATAGAGTTATTTTTGAATAAAGCTCTATGTGTATAACTTCATATCTTACATTGTCGGATCTTGGCCATTGTAAAAATTTGGGAATATAAGTGACATTTTATACGTTATCCACTTATACATTGCCAGTCTATAAAATACTCGGCATTTTATCAAATTCTCAGTTTTCTACTTTGCCCGTAACATAATATTATGTAAAATAAATATACATCTTATATTATTTAACCCTTAAATAGATTTTGTATCTTACTAGATACATTATGTTTGTACAATTATTTTCGCGGAATTTGAAAAATCATTTTATTATCAGACTATTGGCTACACTGGAAGTATTCATGATAGATAAAAAAAAAATATTTGGCGGGAATGTGAATAGATATCAGTTAACAGTTATCATTTGATTGACGCGTATCAGTGAAGTTATTGTGATTACCATTTTTTCATTTTGTTAACCCGTTCTATAGGAGCGAAAACGCGTCGAGTTTTCCATGAAGTGAGCAAATTCATTAAATCAAGTCTTAACTAATATTTTCATGCATTATTTAAGTAATTTCATTAAGTCATATTGATTTCCTAGTAACTATAATATGTTGTATCTATGGAGATACAAAAATTAAATACCATTATTTATATGATATATGGTATTATATGATAACTCCTACGTAAGGGCACTCTACAACTGAATCTTTAGATAAACTTTATGATAAATATTTTAAAGATTATTGATCACACTTCCAATTTTGTAAGAGATATTCCTGACTCATAAGAGCCCCATGCATTTCTTTTTTTTGTAATTCAGAATTTTTAAAAATTGTTCAACAAATACATTTTATAAACACTTTTAGTAATATCTTGTTAACATTGAAGTTTCATTAAGAAATTGTTTTAAAAGTAAGTTTATTTTCAACTTTTTCGTTCATTTATTAAGTAGTATTAAGAAAAGCATGTTTTTAAAAATTATTTTTTTATTTATTTTATTTTCTATTTTTTAGTGATAACTATAAATTAGAAACAAACGATTTTTTGAAAGCATAATATTTATTATTTTCGGTACATTTGAATATTATAAGCAACTATGTAATATTATACTTTAATTATCTCAGTTCCCGCATTCTTTCCATTTCTTCAAGGGCGTCAATATTACATGGTGTTTAGTATTTTATTATCTTTATTATCTTTGTCAATCTCTATGTAGGATTTTCTTACTGTTTTAACAATGAAACGCGTTAAAAGTAATTATTATTATAATGGTTTTATAACCCATGGAAACCGTTCATAAACAAAATTTCGTACCTGTATATTATTTATTCTTCTTCCTCGGAGATGACTTTGCACACCCGTCATCGCCGACCTGGAAGTCCGGGTCCCAAAATAACAACGGATTATTGTATTGCCTTCCAAGACCTATGTCTATACCAATTTTCAGAATTTTTCATCGTAAATAAGTGCCTCAAATCGAGCGCGCAAGATTTGAAGACAACAGGAATGAAACATTGTGAGTTAAAGAAAAGCATGTAAAAAATAACCTAAATTGGTTTTTAGATCATCAATATAATATTATAGATCGTCGTATAATTTATAGAACTAAGTAATAAGAAATATGGATTATGTATCTTCAGGGATACATGTGTTAAACAGTGGCCTCAAGATTTTGTGTCCTATAAGATACATCTCATATTTCAAATTTGAGTATTCAAATTTTTTGAGGACGATGTTTTCTAAGTTCAGTGACCTTAAATAAGCCAGAAAAACCTTACTTTAAAATTTTCAGGTGCTTTTTTCGCCTAGTGAACATTTAAGGGTTAACAGTGAAATATTTTTACTAATTAAACATTTTAATTATTTATTTATACATATAAATTGAGTTTAGGTATCCTTAAATGTTATTACAGTGGGGTATATATCTGAGGTGGCCAATCGACATCGGACGATCGATAGATCGCATACAATTTCAAAGTCAATTCTCGTTTGTTAGAATTTATATTATTATAATTTATAAATCCTAATTATAAATCCCAGTACCTGCTGTTGGAAATAGTTGATTTCATACTGCAGGGTATTCAAATTGTTTCAATCTGACATAATGATTACTTGGTATAAACTTATTCTGGTGAATTAACTGTCGCTCAAAGAATTAAAAACATAAAATAAAGTTCAGTATGAACAGATGAATACTCTAATGATATGGACGGGATATCGACGATGTGTCAAACTTTTGGAAATCACGTTGATCGAACTCATTTACGATTTTAGTATTATACAAAGTCAATGTTTTGTTTCATTAATAAGTGTTGCAATATGAATTGTTATCATCATAGTTATTAACTACCTAATTAATTATAAAAAATTAAAATTAAGTTATTTGGTGTGAAAATAAAAAATAAAAAAAATATAGTTATCAATTAGGTGATAAAAAAAAAAATCATGTAAAAACCGCAGTTTTAACAACAATAAAGGGGTCGAAGGATCGGAAACATTTGTTTGGTTTAATTATTATTTTCGTATATGATATGGTTACAACAGAACAACTATATTATTATAATTAAACTAAAAAAAAATGATTTAATTAATTAGAAATGGTTATTTATATTTGATTTGAATATTTGCTTGTATTGAATTGGTTATTGGCACAGTTATCTAATGTTTTTATTTAAACTATTATGAATATATGTGTAAATATTGTTATTTATGAATGCGTAAGAACAGTTGTACAAAAAAATAAATATATTACATACCGAATAAAAACGGCGTGTAAATCAAAATCAAAATCAAATTATTATTAAAGTCGAATATAAAAAATAAACGTTTTCTTATGCTCGATTCCCCCAGCATTCGAATTTCACAATTCGTATACCTACCTCATACAAGAACTTCTAAATAGGTACCGTTCAATCAATAAAAACGACGAAAACTTATAAATTATAATATTATTCACGTGCTGCAGACTGTCAATCAGTGTAGTTGTAATTTTTTTTTGTGAAGAAAAAAGGAATAACATTGTAGTTGATATTCGGTTTATTTATCGTTCTATTAATATTATGTAATATTTTGTTAGCTTCGACAATTTATTTAATATGAAAAGGTACTTTAACCCATATATTTAGTTTGGTCTTTATCGTCGGTTACCCAGGGACCACCTTACTACGAAGGCACGAACAAACAAACAATATCTAATTTTTATTAAATAAATAAATTTGTATTATTTATTGTAATAAAAAAAGAATGTAACAAAATAATAGACAATTTTAGCACCGGCCAACGGCCTAGATTCTAGGCATAGTTTCGATAAAACAAAATAATAATAACTATAATAATAAAAAAATAATTTTCGTTTATAAAATGTATATGTATTTATTACGAAAGCGGCAAGCTGGTTTAAAAAAAAAAACAATAAGTGATCCACTGTCTCAAAAGGTTGAACACCCCGCTTATAGGGTTTCCAAAATTATTATCGTATATACTCTACGAAATATCGATAATCTTTGAACACTATAAATTCGGCAGTTTTAACGACGTATAAACGTATTTTCGTTGTTCTCTTACGAATCTTCAAGCTAAGACCATGTAGCTATTATCACCGAGTATGAGTGAGTTAAAAACTCCTGTCGTAAATATTATAATATTATTTAATCTCTGGTCTCTGGACGTATCGACGTGAACACTAATTCACCCGTTAAAGGGTTAATACTATGTAGATAATAATATAAATTCCCGTGACAATATTTAATAAACAAATAAATATTGACACTGTCTATTATTCGGACGTACGGGACAATTTGTCCTATAAATATCGATTACTTTTTTTCGTGTTTGACTACTGTACTGATGATGATTACAAATTTACAAAATACTTTGTACACTATTTCGTGATGAAACTAGAGCATAATGTACACATACGTGATACAATATAATACACAATACACATTATATTGTATGTAAATTGTTTAATAATGTCGTGTATTATTAAATTTTTTTTTTTTTGTTTTTGCTTTTGTTTAGTGATGCACTCGAAATATAT